TTCTATTAAGGTTCTATGCTTTTATTTCCTAAATGAACGTTTTGGTTGTGTAATTTTCACTTTAGTCATGAATACCTCAAGCTGATTTTATATATATATATATATATATTATTTTATTTTTTAGGTTTAATTTGTTAGTGTAGATTCACATACAATGCTGCATGAAAAAGGTACGGCTGAATATATATTCTATTAAGGTTCTATGCTTTTATTTCCTAAATGAACGTTTTGGTTGTGTAATTTTCACTTTAGTCATGAATACCTCGAGGCCAGGATTTCTTAGTTACCAATACAATGTTATCAAGTTTTTGCATGAGTGCTCATCTTTTTTTCTTTGGATGAGTTGTATCTTTCATCTTTGTTAGGATGAGAACAATTCTGAATTTTTTTTCTTATTCATGGGATTGTGGTCCTATTGTATCTGCACTTTGAAAATTCTATTTGTCTGTTGTATTGGATGTCTCTGTTGGTTAAAGTTCTGGACACAACACCAGACAATAAAATTAAAAAGAATATAATTTAATCAACAACACATGGTGCTTGATAATGCCTGATTTACAGAAAACAAGGTCCTGAATAGAGGTAAGTGGAGACAAAAAATGGTCCTACGGTGTAGTAAAAAACATGAAGAAAATTTTGAACTAATTGACATTGTCACAAAGTCCTATTCTTCATTTAAATTGTCTCCTTAAGTCAGTGGAAGAAATCTTGAAGATTGTTTGCTCTGCTTAATGTTTTGTTGTGAACAATTCAATTGACAAGAGAGGCATTTCAGTGGTTTATTGGTATAATCCATGCAGCCTACAATTTTTGGGTTCCTTTCTTGAGGACTATCAATCGAAGAAGCAGGGTTGTTACAGCAGTGTTAAATTGGCTATGGAAGCATATGACAGGTTCTAGGGTGTCAATGGAAGGGTCCCAGGTCAGAGCTTCAACCGAGCTTTGGTTGCAGCCTCTATTGGAAGCTAGAGAGCTTGTCTGGCAGATGGTTCAAGATTCAGGTAAGTAATTTATTCACACACCACACTCTTATTCAAATTCTAATAGTGTATTTTCACTGTATTTTTTTTGGTCTTCCATTCATATTCAACTTAAAGACGCACCCCTGAAGTATTTCGCCTTTACCCTTTTCTTTTTTCTACTTATCTTCTCAAAAAGATAGTATAAAACTGAATATCTGATTGTTTTTTGGACTTTATGGTGAATTTTGAGGGTGTCACTGTCGGAATATCTTATAAGGAAGGCTAGAGATGGAGTACTTTTTCAGATCTTTGTTGACTCACTTATATTCAATTTTTGCACTGTTTCTTCTACATTCCATATTTTTTGGTGAGACTTTTTAGTTTATTTAGCAATTGTTTAATTTTTGGTGCTTTAGTATAATTTTGAAGGGGAGATATGACTTGGTATGTTTCATTAAGATAGTGCATAAAATGGGGTTATATATTTACCTTAGGAGGACTGAACCTTATGTTTGTGCAAAATGAAATTTTGGGCTCCATTCTTACTCATTTCTTTCTATTTTTTCTTTATTAAAAGACTTTCTCTTTCTTAGTAGGCTGAATAGAAAGTACCCTTCACTGTAAAGAAGAACCTTACATTGTCTAGATGTAATTGCTAAATGCCAGACTTAAATTATAGAAGGAAAAATTCCTGGCATCATTGAAGCATCAATAGTGGTGGAATTTCTTGACCTTGAATGTGTAAAGGATAGTTGATATACAAAGAAGGAGGAAAATTTGAAGAGAGAAAAAATGAAGAAACTGTAAAATAAAAGAAATGTATTACAATCGAAGATAGAAAAACTATTAAATAAGAACATGATAATTTTGAGATATATCAAAATTTGCCATTTCTTTCGTAAAGTTTTAAGGTAGCGTCTTTTTCAATATGTGTTGAAGGATAGGTGATGAGTAATAGAACACCCCCATGCTATTATGTGACATTTATTTGAAAATTAGTATCAGTTTCTTCCTTTTTTTCCTTCTTTTTCTTAAATGATGTTACTGGTTTTGTTCTTTAAAAATTTGTATCCAATTATTAAGCGCCAGTGCTTTCATTTAGCAAAGTTAAATGCTGCATTCTATTTCTTCTATTTCAGACTTCTAACATGGTTGCTTTTATTTTTTGCTACTGGTACCAACAACCAAAAATTACGAAAGCTCAGTACTCTGAATTGCCAAAAAATCCCTTGAACAGTGGTAATTTGACTGGGTTTCGGCCTTTCCTGACTTTTTCAAAGCGGTATCACTGTAGCTAAACTGTTCATATTTTTTGGCCCCACCGGCACTCTGTGAGCTACCAAAGCATCTTTTCACACAATTTTATAGAAGATTGGTACTGTAGCTAACCTGTTCACTGGGTCATATACCATTTTCCCATATTTGCCCTTCAACTCTGGTACGGTTCATTACCCTCTTTGTCATTTCAGGTGCAGTTCAAAAGAAAGCCAACGCTGTTCATTGCTCTCTTCTGGCTTATTCTTAAAAAAGGCCCTCATTTTTTAACTGTTTAATGGTCTCTTTTGGGAATTTCACCAGTGTTCTGAAGCACAACACAGTGTTCATAGAATGTTCGCTGATTGTTTCTAGACTATTCCTACACCAACTGTTAGCTCTCTGTTTAAGGTTTGTTGCTTTGTCCATGGTGGGCTGTGGGTTGATGGGCATTGGGATTGCCGGCTGTTGGATACTTGGCTAAGCGCATTTTCAGTGCAGTGGTCTGGAAAATGGAAATGGTGATGAGACACGAGGTTATGGGAAAGAAAGGAGAGATGGGGAGGTCAGCGGAGTCTAGTGCTCTGTTTTCTCTATTGGTCTCGAACTGCAAAACAACTTGCCGGTGTAAAGAGAAGTCCACCAAGACACTTATAAGTTATAACCACCATCATCCATGGTAATTCCTCTCGAAACATCCTACTCTGCTGCAGCAGATTGCACGATTTCTCAGTTTTGCCTCGGATCCCGCTGTTCTCTTTGAACCTGGTAAGTAAATCAAAATTATCACTTCTTATTAGTTTATGGAAGCAATTGAATCATGAATTGTTTGATTCGTTCTACAATCCCTGATTTTCCTGAAACCAAATTATGCACTTCGTTTAATTCTGTATTGTTGCACCTTTTTACATTTTTTTTTAATAAATGCCAAGAGAAGCTACATAAGGTCATATGAGTGAAAAGTGCTTTGTTTTATATATCAGAAGAGACAAATTACTGATAAAAGGGTGGAAGAAAGAGAAAGAAAGTATAGTGAGATACAGATAAGCTAAATGGCAATTTTTGTGGAAGGAATCACCCTTGATAATCCTTCAAAGTTCTCTTTAGACTTTTTCCTCTGGCAAGAAGCTTGCAGCCATCAGTGTTGACGGAAGCATTAAGATACAACTTCACGTGACTCGTGTGGTTATATTATATAGAGCATTATTGAGCAATATGGTAAGGAATGACCTCAAATTTGTCATCAATTCTATATCATTTTTTCAATTTCAATTTCATTATTATGTAATTTGTCATTGAGAAAAGATGAAATTGAAATTAACTTATAGGATTAGGGCTTTAAGACTGATAACTAATATTTGAGGTACTGAATCACCTTCTCTGGCTTTTATATTACTGCAATCTGTGTTCTCTGGCTTTTTTGCCCTTATTTCACTTCCAGCAAGGCTTCCAAAACAGTTTGAAACATCTGTGACATGATAAACTGGAAAATGAAAAGGAAAAAGAAAACTTCATCTTATTTTGCCAGGCTTGGAATATCTCCATTAAAACTTTTAGGATGATTTGGCAGGTTTGGATTTGTTGTATCTCCTTTACAAGTGTTCTACTTCAAAGATTGTTGCTTTCCAAGCTCATCATAAGTATGGTCAATGAAATGCTGCACTTTGTCTTCTGACGTTTAAGTTGCCCCTTCTTTCTCTAGTTTATATATTTATTTTCAATGTTTTCTCAGTTTAGTCTGATTTGTTTAATGCTTTAAATAATAGGGACAACCATTTGAGATTGATTTTCAAGGGCACTTACATGTACCTTGTAGATGGTACTGATTACATCAACTGTTTTTGGCTTTTAGAGACTATAGATAATTGATTCTGCTAATGCTGAGGAATATTTTTTTCTATCATCCCTTGAACCTGACAGTAGTTTTGTTTCTGATGGGGTTGACTGTGAAATTGACCACTCAACACCGTTTTTTATGTTTTACTTAGAATCTAATTTTTTCCTTCAATGTGTAAAATGGTGATACATTAATCAAGACTCTTGACCTATTGGTACGACTCTTGAGCTTCTTTATTTAAGTATCTTATTCTTTATCTGTCATTTTCCTGTTCGGGTGGCTTGGATTTTATGGCTGTTCAGATTTTGTAGGGAGATAATCATCAATCAAGGGGAGATAAAGCTATGAAAAGACAACAAAAGTAAACCTTTGTTTGCTAAAAGGTAGATGCATTTAGACTGAGTTTTAGTTTTCTATTTTCTATTTTCTGTTTGCACTTCATGTGGTCTTAGTTGTCTTTATTTACTTAGTCTGGACTGCCAGTGAGAAGAAAATAGGTGGAGTTCAGTGGTGGCAGGGAGTGCTCTAGCATCCAACTTCAGGGTGATGAAGAGATGGTGAGAGAGGCTCGGTAGCGAGAATATATTGAAATCCTTTCCCATTCTTTCCTCAATTCTCTTCTCCAATCATTTTTCTCACCTTTGATGTGTGATTGCAGGAGCTTTGGACTATGGCTGGAGTCCTTCATTCAATCAATGATTTATAATGAAGGTAGTTTTGGCTGTGCTTTTCTCCCTTTTTTTTTTCCTTGGATGAGCATGTTTTCTACTTTTGGGGCTGACAGGGGGACAAGGCAGCAGTGATGGATGAAAAGGGGGTAAAAAATTTGATAAATAAACTAAAACAATTCATTTGGCTGTTATATGATGGCAGGTGCTTATCTGAGCTTTATTTCCATGTGCAGGGTGTTTATATGCTTAAGTGATATCAATTCTTAAACTGCACCTTATAAATCTACACAACTTGAAGTGGTACTCCTTTTTTCTTTTCTGTTATATATGATAAAATTTACAAATTAAAGTGAACAACAAAAATTTTTGTGAAGCCAATTATATTGGATCATAATAGCTTAAATTGTTTTTTGTTCTACTCTAAATTGTGCTCTATATTTTATTTTTACCAAAAACTCCATCTTTGGTAGCTTTTATTTATCCACCTGGCAGGATCACTAGGTGGTAACAGCATATAACTGTTATGATAGGTGAGTTGCATTTTCTGTTTGTTCATTACTGTCACATGGTAGTTTGGACTACCTTCCACATGATTGCTCTTATGTTGTGCTTAAATCTCTTACCTTATTATTTCTTAAAGTATAATTTCCACTTTCTTTGGTTACCGCTTCTTAATAACATTGCCTGTACGTGCTGACTTCTTCACTGGGTTAGAAATATGCTGCTCATAGATATTAATTTTTCACTGTTATTTTTTTTAATGTGTTTCTTTAACCAATATGTATTAGTCTAGCTGATATCAGTGCTAAGGAAACGTTTAACACTTTTAAAGTATGCAAATTGTGCCGGAAATATCCAAAACAAACCTGTTTTAAGTAGATATTAACAACTCCTCTCCCATTTTTCCTCTTCTTTTTCCTTTTTACAGTTACATATAGGCTATATTTTTCCTATTTCTAAGACTTAATTTTCTATATTTATAGGTTAACCATGGTCCTATTGCCAATAAGATGCTAAAGAAGCATCAACAACTAGAGCATTTGCAGGCAGAACTTTGTGCCCATGGGGGGTCCAATGAAGTGCAAGTATCCAACTTCTTTAAATTATCAAATAAACTTAATATTTCATTTAAAATTTTATTGTTATAATTTTTATTTTTTGCATTCATTACTTAACATTCAGGGGCATTCATTATTGTTATAAGTCTTGACTCTTGAGGTTTTTTAGGGGAATACTTTGTCATATTTATAAGTTTCTAAGGTAATTGTGTAGGTCAAGGAAAAATGGGACTCCTAATGGTCATGAAGAATGGGATAGATTTGTTTGAATGGGAGTGCTAATGTAAGCAAAATAATCACATTGAAATATTAAATATAAGTTTCTAAAAACGTAATTGTGTAGGTACATTAACTGTTATTGCTCAATTCTTTATATGGCCTTTTGGAGTTTGTTAGCTATGTAGTGATTCAGAGTTTTTCATTTTGATTCTTGATGTTGCATTTGGCGATCTGGGAAAACAGTTCATTGTCTTTTCTGTAAGCTGTCTCTCACCTGTGCCATGAATGGCTTCCTGACTCCACGAGTTCTATTTGTCTTTCTTTTTCTTTTTTTTTGGGTTAAATTAAGGTTTTTCATAACTGTTTTAGTTCTTGCCTTTTTTGTTTCCTTCGTAAATTTTTTTTCCCCATTTTCCAGAGGGTAGGATCATGGGAAACTGAACTCTTTTCTTCTTTCTTCTAACTTCACTTCAAGGTTTGTATTGCTTCTATGATTTTATTGTTTACCACTGTTGGAATGAAGACCTAATGGGGTAAGTTGATGCCAACTCTCATTGAAGGTGGAGATAATGAAATCCCATTGCAGGTCAAACCCCAAGGTCAAATTGAATGGAGTTGAAGGAAAATGCAAGCAGAGACTGTATTTGCTTTGATCAGAAATGATCCCAACTTGCTGGAGCCAAAAAAGTTCTACTGAATGGTTTCTTTCCGTCCTCTCATTGATTTTATTACCTCTTCAATTGATTATTATATCTAATATTAACTTGCAGAATCATTTTACAAAGGAAAATAAGACAGCAATAGATATGAAATACATTTGGTAGGTTCTGTTATTATTTTCGACACTTTGCCTTCTACATTCTGCTTGAACATTGCATGAATTACGCTCATCATGCACTATAGCTATAGCTATCTAGGAATGAGTATAAAGTACATAACTGATGATGAAAAAAAGAACTAGCAATCCATGGAAGTGCGCACTTTCAGCTGGGAGGGGAATAGGTTTTTTTTTTTTTTTTTTTGTGGAGGTATTTTTGTTCTGAATTATATGGTGCTATGGATATGGCTGGCAATCTATTGGTTTGAACAAATTGTAGATCTAAAAATACAGCATCATAATGTAGGAATTTTAGTTAAAAAGTCTTAAATCAGTTGCATCAAATAATTAGAGAGTTTGTATGGTTGCATAACTGGCCCCAAACCATGACTCGAAGTATTCATGGCAAATCCAGTATGGAAATCTGCAAAAGTTTGAGCTCTATATCTCTGTTATTAAATATTCAATTTTGCATATTCTTTGCTTGGCAAATTTTCTCCTTTCAATTTTGCATATTCTTTGCTTAATTATTCATTGATAATTTATATTTTATATATATCTATTGAGATTGTTGGTGTTTACCTATATGGAGTCCTTAGGATCTGTGATTCTGGCTGTTGCTTATTTGGTAACTTGAACTTTTATATTCTTAAATGACATTTTTATGTTCTGGCATTCTTGATAAATGGAGCTGTTGGCATCTACATCTTCCATGGAGAATTAATTCAATAGCAAAACAAAACTTTATGAATTGTAGCATAAACTTCCACTGCTAGCTTCATTCATACACAAGTGCTGAAAAATTCCTAAAGCTAATTTGATTTTTTTCATTTTACCTTTTTTTTTTCTTGCAGGCTGCATTTGAAGATGTTTAATATTGTTTTCCTTTTCCCTTGTTCTTCTCAGTTTTTTCTAAAAATCTTTCAGCAACTTATGAAAAATTGTTTTTTGTTAACCTGTTCCTTTTGCTTGATGCAAGATTTTTGGTAAATTTATCAAACCATAGCTGTTTCTAAGTTGTTATTGCAAAAAAGAAAGTTTGCTGCTGTTTTGCTGGATGCAAGATTATATTTGTTATTGTAAGATAATTATTTATGGAGTTTGTCTCATGTATGTTACATTTTATATTATATTTGCATTGGCATGTGATAAAAAATAAAAATAAAAATGATCCCTTCCCTGTTATATAGGAAATTAAAAACAACAAAATCCAAAGACAGTGAATGTGCAAGACAGCAAGACGATTTGCACATTGATTAGCTTCTTGGTAGACATGCTGAACTAAAACCTGAAGAATCTTAGACATGATCTCCCTGCAATCCAAAATAAGGGAGTAAAGAGGATGCTGACGGAAAGAAAAGATTCATAGGTAAATAGGTAATATTTTATAAATGAGTAGACTTGGCTTAGAACTGCTTGACCATTTCTCTTCTTCTAAAAGATAAGATTTGTCTAGGTTTTTTCCTTTTTTTTTTGTGTGTGTGTGTGTAAGTTTTTATATTGAGTGTTCCTTTTAATTTGATTTCAGTTGTATGGTTAGTGTATGATTTTCACTTGCATTTTGAGACAATCTATTCCTTAAACGTGATATTTTGGGCATGGAAACAACTGAAAATGTCCCTGTTATTCCCATTTCTAAATCTGAGGAGCTAAAAGGCATTATTCAGAGAGGATCTAAACAACGACATGTTTCTGGTACTCAAATGAATGAACAAAGTTCAAGATCTCATCCACTAGTTGCTTTTGGTATTGAGAATACCAACCTTCTGACCGAATCTATCACAAGGGGAAAGGTAGTCATATATCTCTCTTGAATCTTATAAAATGCCTTTTCTTCTATAGATGTAAGAAACACTACTGGAAAAGTTTGTACATGCATATTTAATGTCAATACAGAGAATTGAGTAGATGGCCATTTCAACACTTGGAAGCTAGATAATAAGGAACGGTTCTTTTGTCTTAAGTTGTAATTAATGGTAATTCTATTGTCGTAATTTTTTCTTCATTTGAATTTGGCTTTTTTTTTTTTTTTTATCTTTCTCCATTATATATTCCGTTTTTAAAGTTAGAACACAGAAAGAATTCACTAAGTGTTCGAAATCTTTCTGTACCTGTTAGTGATTTTTGTGCCTTATGTGGAACATTTTAGTTTATTTCAACATCATCTCTTGCCAAGTTTCACTGAATGATGAATTTTTAATTATTCAAGGTCCTACAATGAGATGTACAATATTATGACGTTCATTTAAAATTATTTGGAGCAGAAATATAGCTGATTTTCCTTTGGCACGTAAATAATTCTGTAACTATAAATGGCCAAATCTTATCGTCGTTTTTCTTTTTTCTTTTTTAACTTTGGCATGGTGTAAAGTATATTCGATAATAGCATAAATGATAGATTAACTTTCTATGAAGTGTAGAATGTAGATGCATCAATTAGACAACACAAATGAGTGCCAATATATTTGAAGTATACTGAAATGTGCATCACTTTGGCATGGGTGGATTGATAAATCTTCTGTCTGGTGCTTTGTGTTGTTTGATAACCTGGACTGAATTGGTCGGTCTGATCGGTTGAACCAAAACTCATTGTAAAAAATGGTTCAGTTCATAATATAAACCCGGTGTGAGGTCAAACCTAGTCAAAACCCTTAAAAATTGGTCAACTGCCTAGTTTATAAAATTTTGAAATTCTTTTAATTTACTTTGGCACACAAGGGATTCAAACCCCACCTCATACTGTCAATATAAAGGGTTCTGCCACTGGGCCATTACCCCCTATTAAGGTTATTCTTGAATAAAATTATATTTATTTTAAGAAATAAATAAAAATAAAATATAGAAGTGAAATAATTAATTTTTTGTTTTATTTAATAAATAGTTTTTTCAACTTGGTTCAAGTTGAGAGTGCGTTTATGTAATTTTAGCAGTTAAGTCAATGTCTTGTTGATGATTTTAATTAGATATTTAATAAATTAACATTAATTTTTATTTGTTTATAATTAATTATTAAAAGGTACAATAAATGCAAGAAAACATGTTAGAAAAATTTTTTAATAGAATAAAATATATAAATGAGGTAAATAAATTTACATTTTTGCCTAGATTTGTAAATTGAGGTTTTAAAGCATGTTTTAAAATGTTTGGAGATGGTGATGAGACAAAAATGTGTTTTATGACTTTTGCATGACATGTACTTGTTTAGATTTGTTTATTATGTAAATAAAAATTGATTATGCCATGTTGATTTTACTTGAGATGCCTGTTTAAATTTGAAGAGTGTCGACATGTTATACCTGTGGTACTAGTACATCTTGATTATTCCTATTCATCCTACTAGTGGGAGTAAAAACATCAGCCACTTCTTGAGGAGACACTCTTTCTTTTATATCACTTGAATTTAGTATATTATTTTGAATATGCAAGACATATGTATTTTACTTACTGATATTTATCTCACGTTATTTTTTTTCATCCACCATTTCAACTAATGAGACTAGAGGTGTTGGGGATCAGGGCAAGTAACATAGTACGTGGCTAATTCACTTCTTCTTGGATTGACACTAGTTTTTTAATTTAGACATGGATATTCGACTTAGAAGATATTGGAGTTTGAAGCATAATTGACTTGGTTATTAGTTAATATCTCTAATTTTTTTTCCCTTTCTATACTTATTGTGGATTGGAAAATCGTGTTAAAGTTGCAGACTTGTAATGTTTTCTTCTCCTTGGAAGTGAATCAACAAATCAAATGATTCTTTTTAGGTATGGAACCTAGATTCATGAAATTTGGCGTAATATTTGGTCTATATTTCTAAATGGAAAGTTTTTATATGTGATTGTTTTTGTTGGTAAAACAATGCTTTTTAGCAATCGTAATGCTTTGGAATTTGGATAATTGACAATAATGAACAAACTCAAGGGTAGTTAGAATTCAAGTAAGAAAATGAGACCTTTGGTAATGATGTTTCAAATGACTCAGTAGAACCTACAAAGGCAAAGGTTGTATGAGCTAATATCATGTCTTTTTCCTTATGGCTCAAGTCAACATGTGCATATCATGATCTAACTTCTAGGGATAGTGAAATCAATTATCATTGTTTAACGTTAAAATTCACTTTAGTTTTCTACTTTTTCATGCTAATTCAATTACATTTGGTTGGCAATAAGTTGGCTGGCAAAAAGGAATTCTAAGGATTTTATTTGGATGTGGACATGAAAGATTATTGCTGCAATCACTGTTTAGTTTACAATAGTCTCCGATCTTCTTCAATTCTCTCTGTGACTTTCATATTAACATTTTACTCCTTAGTCTTTGTTTTGTTCTGTCTCTTTTTCAAGTTTTTAAGACATAGGTTTTAGTGACTTTGTATTTTAAAAAATTAACAAGGTTGTGATTATTGTGTAGCACATTACTTTGAGCTAAATTTAATTTTTCATCTATTATTCCTTTTTTATTTTAATTTAGAAAGTTTAGCTTCTTTTAAAATCATCTATAAACTTTGAAAATCATTTCAAATTCGTCTACCTAAAAAACAGCCATTATCTTTTTTAATGGAATCTCATGGCATGCTTTTATGTGGTACTAATTATGTGGCACATGTAGTTTTAAAAAATTACACTTTAACCTCAAAAACTTCACAAAATTTTTAATTAAGTTTTATTTTCAAATCATTTTACTTTCTCAACAAGATTTTTTCTTTATTTTTTTTTATTTTTTAATAAATTTAAATGTTTTAATTTTGATTAACAACTAAAATTCATCATTGTGATTAATAGGATAAAATTATATCATTTCTTTTTTTATTTAGTTCAAAAAATTAATTTTATTTGTATTCTTTCTCAAAATAACTTCTTCTTTTTTTCAAATTAAGAATTTGAGGATAATTTATGTTTACTTATATTACCTTTAAAAAGAAATCAAAGTTGAAAACAAACATTTTGTGATGGGATGATTAAATTAAAGTAAATAGATAATAATAAGATTAAAGTAAAAAAAAATATTTGAGAAAAATTTGAAATTATAATTAATTTGAGACAAATTTGAAATTATAATTATTTTGAGACAAATTTGAAATTATAGAGCGATAATTATTTTGGGACAAATGGAGTAAAGTTAGAATGTACTCCTTACATCTCAAAATAATAAGCATTTTTTTATTTAGAATTTATTTTAAAACAATAGTGATTTTTTTATATCTTAAAGAAAATAATTTTTTTATTTCTACTTTAATTTTATGATTATATTTTAATTTTAATAATTTCTCTTATTATAAAAGAGTAATGATTGGGTGGACGAAAATTTAAAACTAGAAAAATATAACCAAAATATTTTCTAGTTTGTTCCTAAATTAGAAAAATATAACCAAAGTATGGTAACAAACTAGAAAAATATTTTGGTATTTTTCTAGTTTTAAATTTTTGTTTCCCTATCATTACTCTTTTAATGATATAAGAAAAATTATTAAAATTAAGATATAATCATAAAATTAAAGCAAAAATTAAAAATTTACTTCCTTTAAAATATAAAAAAAATCACTATGATTTTAAGATAAAAAATGCTTATTATTCTGGGATGTAAGAAGTACATTCTAACTTTACTTCATTTGTCTCAAAATAATTATCGCTCTATAATTTCAAATTTGTCACAAATTAATTATTATTTTTTTTATTTTTCAAAGTAAACAAATATTTTTTTATATTTTATCTATTTACTTTAATTAATCATCCCATCATAAAATATTTCTCTTCATCTTTGATTTCTTTTTAAGGGTAATATAAATAAACATAAATTAAACATAAATTATCCTCAAATTCTTAATTTGAAAAAAACAAAAACAAAAGTTATTTTGAGAAAGAGATAATACAAATAAAATTAATTTTTTGAACTAAATCAAAAAAGAAATGATATAATTTTATCATAATAATGACAATGATGAATTTTTTAGTTGTTAATTAAAATTAAAACATATAAATTTATTAAAAAAATTTAAAAAAAATCTCGTTGAGAAAGTAGAATGATTTGAATATAAAACTTAATTGAAAATTTTGTGAAGTTTTTGAAGTTAAAATGTAATTTTTTAGAATTACATGTGCCACACAATTGGTGTCACTAAGCATGCTATGGTATTCCATTAAAAAAGCTAACGAAAGTTTTTTAAGTAGATGAATTTGAAATGATTTTCAAAGTTTTTAGATGATTTTGAAAAAAAATTAAACTTTTCTACATTAAAATGAAAAAAGAGTAATAGTTAGTAGATGAAAAATTAAATTTAGTCCATTACTTTTGTATTAATTATTCCCGAGTACAGCTGGGTACCTCCAAGCACATGTTTAATTTAGCAAGTTGGTTTTGATTTAAGGATGCCAAATCATTTCCCCACTTTAGTTTCTAAATCTTTCATTTTTTATATTAGTGTTTGTTTTCCTAGGTATGGAATATTTGGCATCATATGAGAGCCTTGAGCAACTTCGCCATTTCATTTGTTCTCGGCATTTCTTATGTTTTTTACAACTTTGATACATTGGTTTCGATTAAGGTCTTCATAATTTTTCAAGAGAGAAGCTAAGTTTATGGTTTGCTCCTTACATATTTTATAGCTGGAGAACTCGAGAAGACCAAGACCACAGTAACTTATTGTTGTGTGAGATGTCGATCCAACCATCCGTTTCTTCAGCATGGATAGACTTATATTTGGCCTTTTGTTTTTTTCACATACGGTTGGATTCATTTTCAAGATTACTTTCAACTGTCATAAGAAAACAGTGTCATATGTTAATTATTTTGCTAAAAAATGAGTAACTGTGCTTTGCAAATTACTTTACCAAAATACTGTTGTCAATAGAAAGAAATTTACTAACAGCTAGAACAACGGCGTACAAACAATGACGACATTTAATATAGAAAATGAGGAATAGGGGGACGACATTGACTGGTGTTTGGCAAGTATAGGGATGAAAATGAACAATTTATTAGTACAAGGACGGA